TGACACAGATTAAAAGATTAAGAAGTGTTATATATATATATATGAATACAACAATGATATATATTTTTTTTACATTCAGAAACTTTTTTTTAGTTACTTCGTCATGTACAGACTTAACTGTACACAATTTTTTTATTTATTTTTTTTTTATTTTTATTATTTATTTTATTCTATTTTATTCGTTTTTTTTTATTTTTTTTTTATATATCATGAATGAATTCCATTACCAAACTCTTTTACAAATAGCAATTTCTGACTTGACTTAGTACAAAATTCTTTAAGAATCAGAGTCATTCCATATTTGCTCAGTTTTATACTATGCAGAGAAGGATAATATTTTCAGTTGCCCATTGGTTTCCATATAGAGATTAGATTGGCAATTTCAAAGTGGAATTGAATATCCATATGAGATTTAGCTGAAGATTTCAACCTAAAATGTTACAGATAAAAAATCAGTCTACATAACCGCACATTAGTTCAAATTATAAATTATGTGCAATGAGATCATTAAATTTGCTTGAATTTCTTTCGTAGTACTACATAATATTCGAGAACACGTAAATATGATTGTTTCGAAATTTCCTCTCTTATTAGAACTTATTTTTTTTTTTTATGAAAAATAATGTATATAAATCCAATAAGTAGATGAAATGATTATGCAAAAGGAATTCAAGTTTAAAAAATCACTTGATTGGTTTATAATTTAAACAATAAGATTAAAAAGTGGTTAATTAAAGCTTTAATGCTGAAAGTCACTTAATGAGAGTTGTGTAGCGCAGGAATGGTAACATACTAGCATAATATATAACAAATATAGTGTGATGTCTTAATGCAAACAATATTGTACTAAATGAAATCTGTTTACTTCATTTTTATAATCACAGCACTCATCCAGGCTATATAAGGTTGCGATAAAACATATTTACCACATACTATTTTATGAAATTTTACGATGTCATGATATTAGAATTTTTTTATTGAGGGAGCTAACAAATTTGTATATTCATATTTTATATACTTCCATATATATATTACATGTATGTGACAAATTTGCTTTCATCACTAGTACGATATTGAATTGCAAAAATGATCATGAAAATAAACATAACATTGGTATTTAAATACATCTTCTTTTTACAGACAGTAATTGTATACGAATAAATTAAAGAAAAAAGAAAAATAAATAAAATACTAAGTCACATAAACAAACATATATCACATTATACACGTATACTTTTAATTGATACTCTCCACAAAATGAATTTATACAAAAATTAGCGAATAAATCCGCAATACATTTCCAATAATAAATAGAAATTATAAATTTGATCTTTTTTGCAATTCAATCAGACTAATTCAAGTACATTCACGATATATACTATATATGCTTCATTAAATTTCAATAAAGGGTACATTTTAAGATTTATAATCTATGAAATTTTGTTACACCATTTCATAGAAATTCTTCTAGAAAATAAGTATGTAATGTACTGACTCTTTTAGTAAAACTAATAAGAGTCAAAGAGTCCCTCACAGCCTGAGTAAGACTTTCACTTGAGATCTTTAATTTATTAAATGATAGCTGACAAATAATTAAAAACAATTTTGTGTAATGTTCAAAAATAAGTTTTTCAATGCGATAATAGAATTTTCAATATAATATTATGTATCATTAGATACATCAAGAAATATAAATATTATTACTATTAATATTAATATGATATATTATAAACTATTAAAAAGTTTTCTCATATATTGACACATGATTAATATTTTACATAATTTTTTTACAAGCAAGTACAGCACTTTTTCCAATGATTTTAAAAAACATATTAAATATAAATTAAGTTCGATAAATGAACTATTATCTCATCTTTAATAAGATATACAAAGCTTTAAAAGTAATACATTACAAAAAACTCATTTTAGAGAACCAAAAATTTTCTTGTTATCCTTCGTTTCAGTGTATACATAAGTAAAATATAAATGTAACTTATAATATTGCATTAACACATTGGTTTTTTAATTATTTTTCTTTTTATTTTATTTTATGATTTTATTTATTTTTTTTTTATTTTTTATTTTTTAAAGGTATTAATAAAATCTTAAAAGTTTAATATACCTTCCATGCACACAAATAATTATCGTTTATACGTCTGAAGCATATTTAATATTTCATTGGAACATAATCGATATATATATATATATTCAATAAAATGTCAGTAAAGAATGCAATAAATGATATTTGAGAAGAAGAAACATAATGAAAAGGATGTTAACCTAGATAAATTTATGTAATCAGTAACTTATGCGTGTAGCTATTAATTCTGTCAACACAAATCCGGCACAAAATTAAATGGCTATAATATAAGATATTATTTTGTCCATAAAGATGTGAGTAATGTACAGCATCTATCTGTCAGTAATTATGCAACTGATCTTACTAATTTTCGACATTAAATAACAATGTCGTATACTACCCACTGTCATATTATTTCATACTGTTTTAAGTATAGCCACAATCATTTAGTTCCTAATTAGATTTTGTTAATACGGCTGCTTGATCAAGGATTGCGAAATTTAGCTACGATAGTAGCCTTATAATAGTGTCTTAAACAAAAAGAAGTAGGCCCTCTACGATGATTCAGCAGTGACTTCTGTTGCTGTACTTACAGTTGTCACTGTAATTGCCTTGAATGCTGGGATGAATTCAGCTGCATCTGGATTTAATGTACTCTACAATGTAGCACAATTAATAGAATTTTAATTTATTTTAGATTTCCAAACAAAAAAAAACAAAAATTGGTACCTGTTTGGCAAGATCATCGTGCATTCTCAAGTCACTAAGTTGTTGACAAAGTTCAGCACCATTATTGTACGGAATACTAGCGGCAGTCGACCAAGCAGTCGAATTAATGTTTCTTTCATGTTGTCTTTCTTCTTCTAACATAGCCTCCAAACATTCTTCCATTAGTTCTTCCTCTTCCAATTGTTGCAGAACCTGCAATTTAATTTTCTAAACTATAAATACTGAATATATATTTTAAAATTTTTTAAATAAATCTTAAATTAATTGCAATAACAGAAACATAAATTTAACAGAAAGACCTGTTTATCAAATTCTTCTTCATTCTCCATCCAAAGATATTCCGAAAAATCACCATCGTTACCTCCTTGAACTTCAGCTTCGGTGTCAAGACTAGTGTCAAAGTATGTTGTAATCACACTATTCTCATGGCCATAATAGCCATTACCCGAACCACTGTTTGGAATCTTCATTTTCATGCCACTTTTATAAAAGATCCTTTACTAAAGGATAAACTAGAATTCGAAAAGATATTTTTTCAATTTTCTGTCATTGGATAACGTAAATTCATATACATATAATGTTCTTATAAAATATAAATTGTTCTATTTTCTTTACATATTTATCATTTACACATAAGATATATATATATATATATATATATATATATATATATATA